TTGGTTGCCCCTTGCTTCTAATTGACCTTGCCTTTTTTTTTAGCCTTGCGTCTGGTTGGTCCTTACTTTTAATCGGCCTTGTTTTTCGTTGGCTTTGCTCTGGTTGGTAAGACCAAAAGGGATCTAGTCCTTAAGGACTAGAGGGGCTCTGGGTGGTCTTGCTCTGTATAAAGTGACAAGTTTTACCATGGGGTATTTTTCAAGATATTAGGTATTTGAATAACTCTGAACTCTAGGTCTTCAGACTTCGTTTTCAGATTTGACACTTAGTCCCTCTCCGAGTCTTTTTTTTTTAATAACTCTAAAGAATTACTCTTCAAACTTGTATTTGTACACCTGAGAAGCTCACCTGAACTCTTAACTCTTCTTCTTCTGATCTCTGAAGTATAACTCTGAAGAATCACTCTTCAGACTTGTAACTGTGAAGTATTTCTCATCCGAACTCTGAAATCTTATTTTCAGATCTCTGAAGATAAGTCTGCAGACTTCCATACTTCCATACTTGGCCCAAATTGTTTTAATAATATCTTTCATGATATTTAGGAAATTTTGGTCCTAACAATTAGTATTACAAATATGGATTTATAAACTTGATTTGGTGGTTTTCACCTTGTAATTGCATCAAATGGATTTCTCATTAGACCTAAAGGTCTAAACCTCATTTCGTGTTTCAAAAATGTGCATTTCAGGTGGGCTCAATCAAAGGATAAAGGAAAGGGGAAATTGTGAGATGTCATATATGCTTACATGGGATGTGGAGGAGAGCATACTTATCTATGGTCTATTTGAAATACTTGTTACATATACAAGTTTTGTATATGGATGTTGTGGAAAAATTTGTTAGCTACTTTTATAATGTAGCTTTTGTATATTTGGGACCGAATATGTAAATTTGTATTTCTTGATATATAAAAAACTTGGTTATATGCAAATGTGATTCTGGGGTGTTACATAGATAAAGATTCTACTTCCCACCAGTAAAGAGCATTAGATTTAAGCATAGAAACGACAAATCTAACCCTATCTTAATACAAACATTTGTTGGTATTGAAGATTGACTCAATCTCCTCCAGCCAGCACATAGCTTTTATCGGATCTCTTTCATCAGAAAATATCGGAGGTTTGCATGATAGAAACATTTTAATGTCGTCTTCCTTTTCATTTGTAACCAGAATTTGCGAGTTAATCTCAACTCTTTCTGTTTCAACACGGGCAGGAATTCCGATTATAGATGTTAGGGTATTTCAGAGCTTACCCATTTCTTCAACAAGTATATCACGAGTAACGTATTCAGGATGTTGATTCTGCTCTCGACTTACAAATTTGGTTCTGTTTTGTTCCTCATTTGCACTTTCTCGATTAGATTCTTCTTGCTCAAGATAAATTGCAGGAAGAATATTTCTACCCCTTCCCTGGCCTTTGCCTCTACCTCTGCCTCTTCCTCGACCAGCAGGTGGGTTCTCTAGAATATTCTCTGAAAACTAATAGACAAGCAAGGATTGAATGCACCCCTCTACCATATCTGTACAAAGAACTATCTCTTTCCTATTGGGGTAACCAATGCAATTCTTTCGGACCTTCTTGAATTACTTACCATCTGGTAATTTACAAGAATTTAAAATTCACATAATCATATTCCCAAATACAATAAGGTATTCAAGCACAAATATGTACTTGTAAACCCATGATTACATTTTCTAGTAGTAATTTGAATTTACCTTATATATTATTCTTTTAACCCATTATATTTATTCCCAAAAGTTCTATAGATGTCAGAGACCCTTAATATGCAAATAATATATAGTTTAAGTCTAAGCATCATGCTAAATACCTAAATCTCTTAAACTCAGGCTCTAATACCAAACTTATAACACCCCAACTCTCATTTGCATAAAGTCACATATTCCATATAATATGAAATACAAATATAGACATCGATCCCAAATGTACACATATTACTACATACAAAAGTAGCTACAAACTTTTTGCCTATCCAAAATACACGACTTGATTAACACGTATTCATAGATTATGTACTAATTCAACTTCCCAAAAATCCACAGACGAAAAGTATTAACAAATCATTTCACAACTTTCTCTTCCCTTCCACATATGCCTGACATGTAATGCACATTTTTTAAAACAAAACAAACGTTTGACCAAAAGGTCTAGTGATTAATCTCATTGTTTGCTATTATAGGGTAAAAAATCACTAAAATACTTTTTGGAAAGCCAGCATTTGAAATAATAACATATATTATAACAAACCTACTTTCGTAGTATCATATAGATGAGACAATTACGTTTCATCGCATCAATAATTACAATAACATCTTTTGTCGCGTATAACATAGTACACCAACTTATCGCATCCCATTGATGCGATAACTCTTTTCCTTGCATCATTCAGATGCGACAACTCTTTTCCTTGCATCATTCAGATGCGACAACTCTTTTCCTTGCATCATTCAGATGCGATCACCTCTTTTTGTCACATCATATTGATGCGATAACCCCAATTTGTAGCATTACAAGGATGCGATAACCACAACTTCTCGCATCATTCAGATGCGATAAACATATTTGTCGCACCTCAAGGATGCGATAACCACAACTCGTCGTATTACGAGGATGCGATAGAAATAACACACCGAATCCATCCCAATTTCATCGCATTAGACACATACAATCAGTTGATAATAATTCAAAACTCAAATTTTGCTAATAGCTAGCATAAAATCATTATTTAAAAACACCCAAGTATGAACTCATACGGTCTCATATAAAGTATTTCAAATAAAGCTTTGAAATAAAATAAAAACATCACATTGTAAACACAAGTAGATGAAGACTTTAAACGGTACAAATTTTCATATAAAAATTACGTAGCTTTCTTCTTCCTTTCCTTCCTTTTGTTTTGTTCGAACTAGGAACCACAAAAGAACTTTATTTTCTCTTTATCTCTTTTCAATTTTCCAAAAAAAAATAATAATAATATGGCACAAGTACTCACATATACATTTAAAAGAATGAGGTGGTTCTCATGATTCGTAATTTATTGTTGTTTTTGTTCGTAAGACTAAATATATTTAAAATCCTTTATTTAACTTAGCGACATTTCAGTCTTTTTGTTTATTAAATATCTTTTTTGGTTTCGTTTTTTTGGTATTTTATTCTTTTTGATTTAATCAAACTATATATTTTTTTTATAAAAGAATTAATACATAAAAAATTACATTATTTTGTTATTATTTATGATAAAATAATTAAAATATTTTCATAAAATTCGCTATTTCATATTTTTTGTCATTATAGTTTCAGTTTCTATTAGTTTAATTATTGTCACTAACAACATTCAAATGCAAGTCGTTGAGTACACCTCACATGATAGTATTTTATTTTATTTTTCTTCATTAGGGACTAGGCATTAAATTTTTTTGTGGGACCAAATAATTAACTATATTAGGCTATTTTTACCAAATAAATGTATGGGGTTTTATTAATAGAACGTATAATTTTATAAATTTATTGTAATATATTTATATAAGAAATACATTTGTTTGGTATAAATTGAATGACTTATGAGGCCAAACAATTGTATTTTGTATTAATAAAATTATATACATTTGTTTGATAAGAATAGCCAAAAAAAGAATTAATTGTTTGGTTTTAGAAAAATAAAAATTTTGGTCTTTAATGAAGAAAAAAGAATTAAAATACTTTTCTACGAGAGGTACTCAACGACTTGCACTTAAGCAATGTTAATGGCAGAAATCGAACTCATAAAAAATTAAAACTATAATAACCAAAAATATGAAAAAAAACTAGTTGTGTAAAAAATATTTTAATTATTTTATCGTGGTCAATAACAAAATAATTTTTTTTATCTATTACCTTTTTTTATCAAAATATATATAACTTTACTGAATAAAAAATATCAAAAATATATTTAATAAACAAACACAGAAAAATAAATTAAAAAGACTAAAATACTCTTAAGTTAATGGAGAAGTTTTAACATATTTAAGCAAATGGACAAAAACTGTAATAAATTACAAACCATAGGAATGAAAATCACAATTTCAAAAATCACAAAGATAAAAACCGTAGTTTACTCTTTTTAGGGATTATTTATATATATTAGTGTAGCCGAATTTGTAGATATATATTGGATAAATTGGTTAAAATTTAAAAATATTCAATACTTAACTTATTTTAAATGTACCAACAAGACTATGATAATATAATTTACAAAATAAAATACGTATTATGTATATTTAGTTAAAATTATCATTAATTAATTAGTATAATAAGGGGAATAAAATAAAAAATGAAATGATAGGATAAACAAAAATGAAAAAAAAAACCTTATAATTTACTCTAAGATCAAATAAAATAAAATAAAATAAAAAGACAAAAAGTTCACCGACTTTTTTAACTAAAATTAGTCTGAGGTACAAAAGTGAAACAAAATGGTTGTCATGTTGACCAAAATTGTAATTAGTTTAAAAAAGGGACCCGGTGAACGACAACCACAAATACCAGAAATATAATTTAACTAAATACTCGCATAAAAGGGGGAAAAACCACCAAGTTAACTAATGGAATTCATATGTATAACCAACATGCCTTATCTCCACATTGCTTGTTCTCCATTTCGTTTCTGAGCAGTAGAGCCATTTTCAACTTTTTAAGTATGTTCGATTAATTACATACTAATCAATATTCGATTGATTGGTCTAAGGTTATCAACAAAAAATACTTGTCTAAGCCACTTCATTTCTTTTTGTCCAAGTTGCTTCTTTTTTTTGTCTAACTCACGTCCTTATTTTACGTCAGTTTTTTCATTATTTGTAACAATTCTTAAAAATAAACTAAATTCGAAATAAAAGGAAATTTACTCCCCCAAATACAGATACGCCTCCATGAGCTTTGGTAATATTGTTAATCAATTTCATAACGGAGTACCGTTCATTTTGTCCCCATGACGTTGTAAGGTAAGAAAATAGTGTACTTGTAGGATTCATTTCAGGAAGGGATGGTTAACACTCAAAAAAACAAACAGAAAAGAAGCCACAATTAGAATGTGTTTCAAGGCATATCAATAAAAACTTGTGGACTATACCAATAAAAAGGCTATATACTGGTTTCTAGTATTTCACGGATACGGAATTCTGTCCCTTCCCGAAAATCGATTCAATTTCACCCTTATAGAGATTCAGGCTTTTTGCCAAAGCAAAACCAGCATACATGCCATCCACGGCTGCACTTACGATCCCGCCTGCATACCCTGCACCTTCTCCTACTGGATATAATCCTCCCACTGACATGCTCTCGAAAGTCTCGGGAATTCTAGGAATCTGGACCGGTGAACTAGTTCTAGTCTGGAGAAAGATCAGAATGTTAGTGTAAGTAGCTAGAGCCAGCTTTCCCAATTGTAATCTGTGCTTTAATGATGGTGCCACTGAACGTACAGGTTACAACCTTTAGATCCAGCAGTGACTTAATTATCCCTTTTTTTAAGGAAAAGAAGGACCAGGAAGGGAAAAAGCTGTGTTTTCTTGAAACTTTTGAGAGAAGGGAAAAGAAGACATCATTTATGTTTCCACCCGAACTTTTTTTCTAAATGCGGGAAGAAAGGAAGGGAAAGAAAATCTGAAAGGAGTCGATCAAAAATACCATCATAAAGGGTATAATTGTAAAAATGACTTCTTTCTTTATCTTTCTCTTCGGGGTTCAAGAACATGAAAAATTGTTTTCTTTCCACAAATAAAAAAAACTTCGTTTTCTTCTCTCCCTTTTCCTTTCTTCTCTTTCCAAATTTGGGAACATAGTGCACGTATGGTTCTTTCTCTTTTCTTTGTTTCGACCATTTAATGTCTTCCGTTTTGAGGGTCCCACTGTATAAGAAACATAAAGGCATGGTGGGTCCAGTTTACTTCAAGAAAAAAAACGATGGAAATGAATGAATACCTCTACTCCATGCAGAAGGGCACCATTGGATATGAATCCTGGTAACTGAATGCAAGAATACGGATTTGACAACAAACGAACATTAATTGTATTTAAATTTGTGAAGTTTATTAGCCGATGAAGATCAAGAAAGTAATGAGGAAGTTTGAAGCAAAAACCTCTTGGTCAAAAGCTGAGATTGAATGCTGCAACGCCTCTGTTATATGAACTGGAAACAACTCATGGAGATTTGCTGCTTTCACTCCTAATCGATAACTTGATGATGGTAAACTAGTTGCTGACATAAAGAAAGCTCGTGAGGACAACCATTGATCAGTAGTGAAGAACACAAAATGGATCAAGATTTTACCAGAAACTTTGTTATCCATAAAATCTTTGACAATTTGCACAGGAACAACAAAACTTCCACCTCCCATATTAGCCGCTCTTTGTTCAAATTCCCTCTTGAACAAGTACAAACATTTTTAGACCAGAAGTTCTCATATTTTGTCGATAAAAAATGAATAGAAAGTATGAATGTATGATAATGGATGCTTAAGAACAAGAGCTACCTGAAACTCGACACCCGCAAGAGGTCCATGAAAACCAAGAGCACTGAAATCCTTTTGTGAAACAGTGACAGCAAGTGCAGCATTAGCCCATTTGGATGCTCTCCGAGAAAATGACATGCCATTTATACAGAGTTCTGATGGATTTACACTCGTTACAACAACCTGCACATGAAAATTTTCAATTTTCTACCACATTCAGTTATGTTCATTTTAACAACTTCCAATATAACACAAATTATAGATACAGCATACATACTGACTGCTATGGTCATATGGTTTGTTTCCCAAATCCAAAACGATACTCCATCCCATGAAAATTTCAACAATTTCCGTTTTGAGAACTTTCTTAAGGTTTACCTATTTCTCTATTGTCATTTTTACAAAAGGTCGATGTTCAAAAGAATCCCATCTCAAAGTTTCGACATTTTCTTCGTTCCAAAAGAAACCCGTCTCAAAGCTCAACGCTAAACAAATTTGATTTCCTAAATCGACCACCTTTTTCAAATTTCAGATAAATGGTTATTGCTTGATCGTCTGCATCAATTGGTCAGTGAAATTGTCTTGAAATTACTCCCAAAAAGAAGTATCAAGAAGTGATGGGCTAGTACCAGTTTCATATTGGTCATCTAACATTTCCTTTTTATGATTCTCATTGATGAAAAAAGGAATATTTTTTTGATGTAGAAAGAATTAAAGACGAGACCAACAATGCACAAAATAAATAATGATATGAACAAATGAAATCTAAGAGATAAGTTCACCTGCCCACCGGGACACATGCAGAAAGAATAACAACTGCGTGATGAAGCATCTTTCTCCTCTCCTTTGACATATTCCACAACCTTGTAATCAGCAACCGGTATTTTCCCCCGCCCACTTCGAACCTCATTAGCCAATTTAGAGTACTACATGTTTCAATGATAAAACTTTAGGAAAATTATCAATACCCCCCTTAAGTAACATAAATTTTCTCCCACTGTCCCATGAAAATGTAAAGCTTTCCTTTTTTGGAAGGTAAACATGGTAAGTACCAGTTTGCCCATTGTCATTTTTACAAGGACCTTAACTTTGTCTTTATAGATGGACAAAAACACATGGTCTAAACTATGTTTTAAGACGGGCGATGCAATTTTCATTGGCAGGGAATAGCAAATTTGTCACCAAATCTTCGAAACCTGAATGATGTTTATCAATTCTTGTGGATGCTCAATCCGCAAACCGACCTGTTCATCACACAAGTCCAAATAATTTAGAATATTTTTTTATGGTACTATAACTTTGTTCTGCAAAAAAAATGGATGGAATTTAACTGTAACGTACGGCAAAATCTTTGGGAAGCAATTCCACATTATGAGAAAGAAGCATTTGGTATACATCACGTGCAGAATGCCCGACTGCAAGAACAACTGCATCGAATCCCAGCTTCTCACTACTAAGCTGTAATCTTCCACTTGAATCAGATACGTTAACACCAACAACATGGCCATTTTCTACAATCAGATCATCAACCCTTGTTCCAAACCTGATGTTAACCTTCGAAAACATGAAGGAAAAAAAATTAATCCCGTTAATTTAAAGATACTAAACTTTAAGGTTTCTTTGGTCTCAAACAGAATTTAGAGAGGTGACTCACACCCAAATCTTGTAGATGTTGCCGAAAGTTGCGGAGAAGTGGTATCAGCCTATCTGTCCCTAGATGGGGCTTTCCATCCACCAGGATGCTTTCTGGAGCTCCAAACTGAACTAAAGTTTTCATAACCTGAGTTTTTGATTAACATAAATCAGGTAATGAATAATAATAATTGCAAGGAAATTACAAAATAATATATTAGTGATTTCTTGAAGCATTCTCACTCAATCTGCATCTATGAAGCAGCGAGTAGGGGCAGATTGAAGACATGGGGGTAGAACAAATCCATAAGCTGAACATTTTTAATTTTTTTACCTACAATTACAAAATGTGCCCCCAACAAATTAAAAAAAGGGCCCCAACACCCATTGCTTCCTTGGTTGACTATTGTTTTCTACTTCTCTCCTCCGATTCTTGTTTCTTGTTCAGTTTTTCTGAACATTCTAGAGGCTAGTAGGATATGTCATACAAATAGGTTTGACTGGCATGTAGACTGCTGAAGCATTTTGGTATGGGTTCAAATACTTACTGAAGATATAATTAGAAGATATTAATAAAGAACCGGTTAGTGCTAAAATGGAGAAATTACACTCACCGACATAACACTTCCACTGTTCCGCCCGATTCTAGTTACCAACTTTCCGTCACTCCAAGTACCTGCACCACCCTGTCAACCATAAGTCTGTGATAAATAACAAAGATAAAGTCCAGTAAGAACATTCTCAATTGAGCGCTCAATAATGTAAAAGGTACATTACATAAGCAACAAAAGTGCAATTTAACTCTAGGTTCATGGTTATAAACCTATAATGTTCTATACAAAAAAAATGGAACACGCAGCAAGTAAAGGATCTATATTTGAGTAACAAAGTGTAACCTCGCCAAAACAAAAGTTGCTTTCTAATTGCAGTATTCGGCGGACCACCAAAGCACCAATATCACGTCCACGTTTCTCTACTGGTTGCCCTCGTTCTATCAAAGTAACATCAGCACCGAACTCTGCAAGTACAAGTGAAGCAAACAAGCCTGATGGACCACTACCCACTACTGCAATCTTTGGCTTTTTAGCAGCTGGAGACTTGGAACCACTTAGTGAACTACTATGACCATTTTCTACAGGGACTCTATCCTGGTCGATCTTCTTGTTATCATGTATTACGCTAACCAAATCACCCACAACTTTTTCATGTGGCATATGCTCAATTAGCCCAATTTTGGGTTTCAAAAGCGAAATGAAGTCCCAAGTTCGAGGTTCAAGATCCAGGAGCTTATCGACATCCATCTCCACTGTGTACACAAATTTGGGCTCCTTCTGACTCTGAAAATTAAAATTTCTTTATGAGCCAATTAACCACATTTGGACTTTTTGTCATTTCACAAAATTCCGTTTCAAAGAAGCAACAGGCTGACCTTTCTAGCATCAAATGATTTTCTAAGAACCACAAAAGCTTCTGGAGGTAACATTGAAGCAACCTGAAAAAAAAAACATAGGGTGTGTTACCTAATCAAACCAGAATGAGTGACCGCATGACTGAACGAGAAGAAACACTATTTCTATTCTGGAAAATGATCTTTTGAACCACCATACTTTGCCTTTCGATGCAAACAAACCAGCATTCTTGTGAAGATAGAAAAAACACCATTTCTTTCAAAAATAAGCAAATTATGGAGAAAAGCTGCCAAGTATGATGGGTTTGTTTTGGCATTTGTATTTCAACAAATTGTTCAAAATTACTGATCTTGCAAGAAACAGTTTTTGTTTGGCATGAAATTGATATTAATAGTCAAGTATGATGGTTGAAACATCAATCACTCTTTGAGGAATCCACACAAATTTCTTTGATTTTAATATATTTACTATATACATTTCTATTTAGCAATGCTACATAAACATTCAAATCCATATAAACATTGAGATGACAATGTTAACTCATATTATACGATTCCTTACACTTGAGTAAAACATCAAAACGTATACTCATTACCCAAACTCGTATTTTGATAAGATTCATGGTACAAAAATAAACAATTACCGGAAATTCGAGAACTTTGGCAACTTCCTCGAGCAAAGCATCAGAAATATGAAGAAAATCTTTACCAGGGTCTCTATCAATGGAAACGCCAAGTTTGAAAAGCCTCCAAAACCCTTTGAATTTATCGATTTGGGTTTCCGTTTGTTGGATTGATTTAAGCTTCCTTTTCTCTGATGGGTACCTAGACTTCCCTGTTCGTTTGGACCCTTTTCTGGCGCATCGAATTTGGGGTTTGTGAGAATAAAGAAAACGATTTGGGGGTGAAAATGGGAGTTGGGGATTAGGGTTTTTCGTAAAAGTCAAATTGGGGGAGCAGAGTAGCTTGGTGGAACCAGAGAACATGGCTGGATTGGAAGGACGAAGGGAAGAAAAGTGAGGGGATAACGAGGGGTTTATGATGGGGGTTTGGTTTGGTTGTTAACTTGTTCGTTCAATTTTAATTACAAAGAAACTCCTATATTTTATCCAAGTTTGCATTTTCGGCCCTTATTAATTTTGAGAGAATGATTTTAAGTTGCTTATATTCAAATATTTATACTATATTATAAAGCATTTGACAAAAACTCTTAAAAATCATTTTTTTTTATGCATGAATAGGTGTGAATGACCCGAGTGAGTAGTAAGGCTCCTACCTTGATAAGATATAGAGTGTTTACTAACCACTTATTATAAAAAAGACTCTGACTGTCCTTCTTACCAGATAGCAATCGGTCAACAACTATCCCCATTCTTATTGCAGTCAGAGGGTACGATCCTGATTTTTTTTCCCATTTTATTTTCCGATCTCCCTATTTCAATCGCATTCTTCATCGTTTCAACATCAATCGTCCCTATTTCAGAAACAATCAAGACTGCAAAACTCATATGTTTTACTAAAGTTCATCAATCTCGCATCCCTCGTTTTCTCGTTGTTTCCTCTGTTTGTCGTCTGCCTCACCCTAACAGTCTCCATCTACAATTTCAGGTATATGTACGATCACTTATCTCTGATTTGGTCATACGTTCTAATTCAGACCGTTTGTTTTTCAATCCATTTTCAAGTCTCTTGTCTCTCGATATCGTCTGAACAAAAAACTGATAATCTAATCACTTTTTCCCCTTTTGTTCGTTGAATATGCCTCCACCCATACTGTCACTTGATCTCGCCTCAGATCCAATCCTCCAAATCGATCTCTCAACCTGTTCGATCTCCAAATGGATCTAAACCCAAATTGATCCACACCCTCTCGATCTCCGAGGTATGTCGATCTCCCTCCTGATTTTTGTTTTCTTCTTGATTTGATCCATGTGGTTCGTCCTTGCGGTTCATCTTGATTCAAATTTGATTTATGGGTTTTGTTGGCTTGATTCAAGTTTGTTCCTCCCTGTGGTTCGTCTTGATTCATCAGTATTTGAGAAATGGGGTGATCTTCGGCCCACTATATGATATATTTGCAAGGGTTGTTTTCTTTAATATATGGGTGAGGATATATACACCCCTCCTTATTGGTAAAGTGCACCCCCTTCTATTCTTTAGGTCAAAGTCAATTAATTGCATTAATTTTTTTTTCAGAAATTTATTTCTTATAAATTTATGTTTTATAATTTTCTTCAACATTGTTTTCTAATTTTATTTTTCTAAATTTATGTTTTATAATAAATTTTTGTCAACTAACTATTTCTAAATTAATTCAAATAACTATAAAATTATTTTTAATTTTTATAATTGTATTGTTAACATTTTAATTAATTAATAATTTATGTATGTATTTTTTCTAAATAAATATTTAAAGCTACAAAGATAAAATAATTTAATACAAAAAAGATTATCAAAATAAGTTAATTGATAAATCAACAAATAGAGTACAAAAAGTTTGAAAATATTATAACTCAATCAAATAAAATAAATTATGTAGTACGATTACTAGATAACAGTTGCTCGTACTTGTTTATTCGGGTCATGTACGGAGTAGTCTATGTGGTTACGCAATCATATTTGAAACGAAACCAATTTGGCACGATAGAAGGCATCGGGTGCCCTTCTGCAAAGATATTTTAACTTAATGATTACTGTTAACRTACCCAATWRTAAAAGCAACATGTTCATACCAYSRCGGAGGACTAGATCRAAGTGGGAAGAATGTCAGACTACCTATAGTTGTTAAAGAATGTAGTATCACATTGTATCTTGAAGCAATCAACAAGCCCGTTTCAAAAACATCCATCCAATGCTCATTTGGTGCAAATGAGTCCAGCTCAAAGAAGTTTAAGGAGTTATAAAGTCGATGTCATAGTTCAATGCCATACACCTAGAGATATTATGTCTTGTACATGTTTAACTCCTCCATTAAATCATATCGAATAGATGGTCATTCATCTTCGTGGCGACCGAGACAAACGGCTATCGCTCGAAATCCACAGTTTCCATCGCCTTTTACATCTTGTACCTGTATGATGTAAAGATGAAATTATTTAAAAATTGATTAATACATTCAGATAAAAAAATTAACTTGCATGAACTACGTTACATACCTGGACGATGTAAGGATGAAAAATACTTGGAAACTGATTAATGTATGGATGTGCATAATTTTTTGGTCGAAGTATGATTTATGTCTCGCTTGTTCATTGTTCACCAAAACATCAAACTCCACAAATGTTGACACGTCTTGACAACTATGCCTATGAGGTTCTTAAGTTGGTGGATCAAGACGACTTTTTTTGACAACCTTACTCTTCAATGAGAGACGACCACAAGTTGTTGTATGAACAGTCAGTTCACAAATACGAGTTGTCCAAGGAATGATTATCTCCTTTAACTTTCTTAGAAAACTAGACTCCATTGATCTCGACTGTTTTTTGAAGTTCTCAGTAAACATTTGCACTTCATCATCACAACAAATATCATCATCTTCCACGGTTATACACGGTGATAAATCAAGTTTCCTCCAAAATCCGTCAATCGATTCAAGTGGAATAGATTGGCATGCATTGAAATAACTATGAGGGTATGAATTTTAATATATCATAAAGAGGTTTACAATGATATATAAGACGTTTTACAACAGAAAGTGCACAAATTAAGAAAAAATACATGGAATATATTTATGACATAAATAAAAGATATTGATTCCTATAATTATGCGTGGTCAACGTATATCCTTGATACGCCCCCGCAAGATGGAGGATCCGTCGGAGACTCCAATCTTGGATCGGAATTTCAGAAATGATACTCGACCCAATAGTTTGTTGAGAACATCTGTAAGTTGGTCGAGAGTATTGATGTGTCGAACCTTTAGAGTACCAGCAGAAACTTGCTCCCAAACAAAATGATAGTCCAAGGCAACATGCTTCATACGCGAATGATAAACTGGATTAGCGCAGAGATAGGTAGCACCCGTGTTGTCACAGTTTATAGTTGGTACGTGTGGGACTGAGAGACCAAGCTCAGTCAGTAAATTCTTAACTCATGATAATTCAGCAGCAGCATTAGCCAAGGCTTTATACTCGGCTTCGGTTGAGGATCGTGAGACCGACTTCTGATGGGTTGAACGCCAAGAGATAATGTTCGAGCCAAGATAGACAAGATAAGCTGTTGTAGAACGTCCTTTGGTTGAGGTCCCACCCCAGTCGGAGTCCGAAAAGGCAGTGATTTCCAAAGTTGAATTTCGATTTAGGAAGAGGCCATAGTAAATAGTACCCTTTAAGTAACGAAGTAGCCGTTTAAGAGCTTGCCAATGAATTTCTGACGGTGAATGCATAAATTGCGACAATTTGTAGACTGCAAAAGAAATATTTGGTCGACTAAAGGCAAGATACTGAAGAGTACCGACTAGTTTGCGATACGGTGTCAAATCAACTTTAAGAGCTCCATCTTCTTCAGCTAGGGTAACTGATGTACTTAAAGGAGTTGTTACCTCTTTAGCGCCATTCATCTTGAATTGAGTTACGATGTCTCTGATGTGGCCATGATGCGATAGAAAAAGACCCGACTTGGTTGGAATTATTTCAACACCTAAGAAATGATGTGTCCAAGATCTTTGGCAGAGAACTTGGTAGCAAGCATTTCCACAAACTTGGCAATAAAAGGTGAGTTATTTCCTGTGAGCACAATATCATCAACATATACCATGAAATAGCAAGTAATGCCATCATGATTAAAGATGCATAACGAGGGATCTGCTTGTGACTTTCGAAAACCAGACTCTACTAAAAACGAGGTGAGTGCCATGTACCACGTACGCGGTGCTTGCTTAAGGTCGTATAGGGATTTTCGAAACTTGCAAACATAATTAGGATATTGTGGATGAACAAATCCTGGTGGCTGAATCATGTACACTTCCTCTTGTAACGTGTCGTGTAGAAACACATTATTAACATCGAGTTGTGTCAATGGCCAGTTTTTGAAAAGAGCAATAGATAACACAGTACGAATTGTGACCGGTTTGGTTACGGGACTGAACGTGTCAAAATAATCTTTCCCGTATTGTTGGAGGAATCTTTTAGCTACAAGACTGGCCTTGAATTTCGCTATAGTACCATTGGATTCTGATTGATGCGGAAGACCCATTTGCATCCGATCGGTTGATGGGAAGTAGATGGGACAAGCTCCCATGTAGAGTTTTGGATCAAGGCCTTATATTCATCATCCATTGCTTTACGCCATAACGGGTCTTTTGAGGCTTGAGTGTGAGTAGTAGGTTCCAAGGCAACGGGAATGGGATGAATAGTGTTGGTGTTCATGAATTTGGAATTGAAGTATTTTGGGTTGGGTTTTCGATGGCGGGGTGGAAGAGTGGGTGAGGGAGTAGGCGATGGAGATGGTGACGTTGTGGACGGAGGTGTTGACTGTGATGAAGAAATAGGAGAGGAAGGATCGGGAGTTGATTCAGAGAATGTGAGTGAGGTGGGTGTTGTAGCAGGTGGTACGAGTGGAGGTGGGAAAGAAGATGTTGGGGTGAAAGGGTTGGTAACAATGGGTGCAGGAGGACTTGACGTGGGATTTTGGTGCATGAGAAAATTGGGAAGGGTAGGTGCATGGGGAGTTAGTGAGGGTGGTGAAGTGTGACTAAAGAATTCATCCACAATGGAAAGTGAAATGGATGGAGATTGAGAGTTTTTGTATGAAAAAAGGTTTTTAATAAACTCAACATTACGAGAATGATAGACGCGGCAGGTTTCAAGGTGAAGACATTTGTAAGCAGATTTGGCGGCGGAATACCCCAAGAAGAGGCAAGAAGTGGAACGAGCGTGTAGCTTAGAGGTAGAGTAGGGATGAAGCCATGGGTAGCAGAGACACCCAAAAGGCTTGAGTTTTGTGTAGTTGGGTGATAAGCATGGTTTATTACATGCTTAAAGTACCTATTTCTTATGCTTATTAGGTAGATTTTCATAGTTTATCCCAACCTTGAGTCATTTTTACTTCCTTATTTTCCATTTGTTATGTTGGGAGCTAATTATGATGGTGAATTTGTTTTACAACATTTTGGAGTAGATAACATCTTTTGACTCATAGCACTGCACTGTAATGCTGCAGCATTCCAACAGTATTGCCCGGCTGCATTTTGGCTTTTTGAAGAAGTGCTTATTGGTTAAGCCATTGTCTTGGATGGAGGTCTGAGCTGAAGAAGCCCTCGTTTTGGACTATTAGCAGCTGGTGAAAGGATGTGGAGAAGACCCTTGGATGACTTATTTTGATGGAGTTGAAATCTCCTTTTTGTTGTCTTCTCATCTTTGTACCTTGTACTTTGTACTTCACTTTAATATTTTGTCTTTTCCTCTTGTGTTGGGTATAAAAGAAGGCCTTTGGCCTCTCTTTTCCATACACACCTCCTGGACATTTGATTCTTCATCATTTGTTTCAAAACTCTCCCAAAACTCTTCCATCTTATTAGTATTATTTACAAGCTTTTAATTATTGTTATTTACATTTCGTCTTTTATTTATTTCTTTATTGYCATTTATTTTACGTCTTTACTTTCCGTCATTTAMTTTCAGTTATTTAYATTCACGTCTTTACTTTCCGTCATTTACTTTCCGTTATTTACATTCATGTCTTTACTTTACGTCATTTATTTATGTTATTTACTTTCCGTAATGAGTAGCTAATTTCATTAGTTCGGGTGTAGGGTAAAGGGTGAAATGTTAAACTGAATGAAAGTGGACATTGTTTCGCAATAACAATGTTCCACTATTTCATTCAAGTTTT